TGAGCTTCCCCAACTACTACTACTACTACTACTAGCTAGCTAAGGTCGATATGGCTATATACCGACAGCACTCACTCGAATTGCAAGTTCGCATACGTTTATAGCACTTATAGCGGCAATCACGCCGCTATTAAGTGTTCTTTTTAAAAATAAAAGGTTAGTGCTAAGAAAAGTAAGCTCGTAGCTCTTTATCAGTTCTTAGAGTTATATAAGTGTTCTTTAGCACTTGCACGCTTTAATACGACATTAAGATTTCAAATCGTTAACACTTCAAAACCTTTATTACGCGCGTCTGCTTTTCTTTATTACATTCTTGCTTTTAAAGCACTTTTGCAACCTTACCTTAAGGACTTAAAAACACTTTTCTTTTAAATACTTCGCTACGGCGCTTTAACGGGTTATACTAGACTTGCATGCCGCAAAGTGTAGAAAAACTTCTTTACGGTTGATCTTTACTTCGAAGTTATAAACGATCTGTCGGTATATCCATATCGACCTTAGCTAGCTAGTAGTAGTAGTTGGGGAAAGCTCACCCGTGAACCATGGTTCACGGGCCACTTGGCATGCTTCGCTTAGCATGTCAGCAGTCAAAGGACCCCTAACTTGACAAATAGACCTATTAGTTAGCTAGTGCACGTGATTCCTTTTAATCTTATAGAAGGAATCAGCTCCTTTGAATCTTAAGGAGCAGACAGAATTTAAATACTTTATCAACCGAGTGTTTTGCAATTGCAAGTACTTTAACGACCGTTACGACTTTACGAATATATTCTTAATCGCTTAAAAGTAATCTAATACTGATTAGTGGTTGATTTACTATTAAGTAATTAATCACAAAGAAGCTAAGACTCTATAGCGAGAATACTTATTACTACGATACTTTTTCTTTACAACGAAAAAGCGATTCCGTACCAAGTCGCTTTTTATACTACCGATTTTCTTTATTCTTACGGAAAAGTGATTCCGAACCAAGTTACTTTCAAAAACAACAACATTAACGCTATAAGAGCTGCGCTTGCTATATATAGCACCTTAACCAAATTTAGATCGACTTATATACTAACAGACAACAATTATAGCCGATCGAGCAACTAGACCTTTAAGTAAGGAGTCTAGCCGACAAGGAGTAAGAAGGTATTATACTCTTCGAGTCTTATTATTACCTACGGAACCCTTAGCTATTTAGCCAAAAGAAACACTATACTTAAGGCTCCCAAGCCTCTCGGAAAGACTAGACGATAAGATGTCGAGCATCTTATTTGACTTAAACGAGCTCTTATACGCAAGGCCCGATAATAAGATTACGGCTCGAGCAATAGTAAAGGACTTCTTAGATACGAAGTGTAAAAGGCTAAAGGATTACGACTTGTAAAGCTTATTCCGGCACGCTTTTTTACGCTAAGATTAAACGAGTTTTACGATAACGAAAGACAATACAAGACGAGGCCTTAAGTATGCTACTTTTATTAACTTTAAAAAACACTTGCTATCTAAAAGTGTGTAGTGCTCCTTAAAACAAAAGAGCTACGCTAATAAGATAGTCAAGCTTTTAAACGATAAGCAGCAACATTAATAGACTTTTTAAAAAATAAAAAAGCAACAAGCAACACTTTTAAGCTTCGATTCAAAGTAGACCGTCGAAAACCTTACGGACAACGACGACGACGATATTACACTTTAACCACTTCTACTCTCGCGCAATCTAAAAAAGAAAGAAAAAGAGATTTTAAGTAAAAAAAAAAAAAAGGAAGAAATCCGAAGGTTACGAAAAGAGTTTTTAAAAGAGAAGAGAGATATAAAACGCAATATAAAAGCTATAGCAAAGCAAATAGCGAAACTACGGACTTACGTTATACAATTTAACGAAAGGCTACGACGAAGCGCTTTAGCGTACTCGACGTCTTTAATTCGTTAACTTTATCAATCGCTACGCAATACGCTAACTATATAAGAAAAGCTAAAATCACTTTAACGGCTTTTAAACCTTTTTCTTAAAAGCTATAGCCGAATTTTCGAAAAGCTAAAACCGAGTAGCAATAAAAACGGTTTTAAGATCATTATCGGACTAGACAACAATCGAAGCTACGGGAGCTATACGCTAAAAGAAGACCCGTTAAGACTTGAGAGCATTCCGAACAAAATCAGCTCTTATTAAAGATAGCGTGCAGATTTCCGTGCTTAACCTTAGCAACTCGAAAGAAAGATCTAACACCTTCGGACGTACCGGCAAGCTACTTATATCTTTTAAAAAGCTACGTATTAATAAAAAAAAGATTAAAAGTATAAGAATCGCTAAAAGCAAACTTAAAGATACGGATATTACTAAGCTAAAGCTTTAGCCGATGACTTAAATAGCTTTAGCGATCTTAACGATGACCGACGAAAAGGAAACGAAAGAGATAAGCAAAGAGATCGAAAGCACGGATACGGAAAAGGTAAGAACGAGCCTTTTAGACTATTAAAAAGATTCGGAAACGGACTTTTAAAAGACCTCGGATCCGGAAATAAGCTTCTTAAAGACTTTAAAAAAGTAAGACTTATAACCGGCAACTATATCGATAACTTTTTACCGATCCGACTATTAACTAAGCACGGCACGCTTGCGTACGGCACTTCAAGCGCTTTTAACGATAATAAAGACGACTTCTTTAAGCTTAAAACAACGGACTTTTACTTAAGAGCAAAAGAGTTAGCTTTATTCGCGCGAAGCTTTTTTAAAAAGCTAAAGTATTCAAGATCCGACGATGATTTTAAGACTTAATTAAAGATTTTTACTAATTAAGCAAATCGATACGGTTTGACTTTAAACGACTACTTAGCGGCGTTCTTTATTATGCTAACGAAAGAAGCTATAACCTTTTATTATAATCATGTGATCAAGGCTAAGCTTTTTACGTTTAAAGCGAACGCTATTGCTATAAAAGACTACTTCGAGACTGACTACCGGCGGCAAGCAAAATATAACCGTTAAAAAGAAATTTCGCTAGATTTAATCAAAAAAGAGAATCTAAGGACTTCGCTTAACGAGTGCTTTGAAAAGCTCGCTAAAAAGCTTAAAAGCATTCAAGGCTTTTTACAACCGGGTTTAAAAGACGATCGAAGTCTTGTTAACAAGCTATATTCAGCTTATAAAAACGTGCTAAAGACTACGATTGCACGAATGAATCTTGCTTTTACTTTCACCGCGGTAATTGCTAACATTCGTCGAGCAATTGCTTTTGCAACTAAGACCTTTCGACCTTTTGCTAAAGCTAGAGCTTACGCGAGCTCTAACGAGCTATACGATTACACTTGCTTTTATAACACTTTAAAAGCTGATTCCGATTTAAACGAAGAATACGAATGTTTTATTTAAAACCGTTAATACTTCGAAAGTAAGAAAGCTGCTAAAGCTACTATTAAAAGTAAGAAAAAGTGTTTTATTTATAAAAAGCCAAGTTGCTAAAGCATCAACTATACTCTCGACGAAAGAAAAGCATCCGTCGCTAAGTTCTAAGCTTTTAAAGACGCGAAAAAGGTGACGAGAAGCAAATTCTCTTAATACGTAGCGTCGATCGAAGGCTTACTACTTGTATTTACGAAAGAATTCGATCAATTTATCGCAAGCTTATTAAACGAGCCGCTCGAATCGAGCAGCTACGCTAATATGTCGGAAGGCTTTATAATTACTCACGGCACTTTTAACGCTAACGAAGTATACAAACAACTAAAGATTTAAACGGCATTCCACGCTTTTATTAGTTAAATAAAGACTCAAAAGATGCTCGAGCAAGATCTGCGTGTGCTCGCGAGTAAAGCAAAGACTTATATAGCCTTTAAGTATTTTGAAAACGTGTTTATAAACCTTATAATTAACAGCGGAGCAGCTAATTTTTTTACCGCTAGCTTGCTTTAGCTACGAGCACTTTAAAAGAAGTACTTCGAAGTTTAATTGAATACATCTCGAGCAAAAGAAAAGTCCGTTAAATACGGCATCGGCTTTGCTACTTCTATTAAAGCAATTACTTTAAAAACACCTTTAAGTCAAGTAGAGTTTTACGTTATAAAGAGCGACGTACTCTTTTTATTCTTATTAGCTAATATAAATAAGCATAAAATGATCTTAAATAACTTGTAAAACGTGCTAGTTTAAAAGAAAAAAGAAATACTAATAATAAAGATATTTAAACACGTGTAAATGCTACTAAGTAAAAAGCACGCTACTACTTACTACAGCATTAAAAGCGAGACCGTTTACTACTACTTTACGGAAGAGCAATTAAGGACTATCTACAAGCGTTTTGGTCACCTTTTAGCAAGTCGATTTGCTGTTATTCTTAAAAGGGCCGAGCACGAATTCAAACGGGATTTGCTTTAT